GGCGTCATGTTTACACTACAGTCCTGACACCACTGGGACCAGTTTCATAGCTCACCAGAGAAATCCCGTTTTGTAATGTCCAACAGGCGCCTGATGAACTTTATCAGCAGTTTCATCAGTTACTAAAAACACTAACATCTGAGAGGCAGAGAATGAAAAGTCATCTCTGTTGCTCTTTTACATTTCTCCTGTTGTCCACAAATTTATAGATACAGACAAACAGCAGGTTACATCTGGAGGAGAGGGCGTCTCAAAACCTCGGGGCCCATTGGAGACCCCATGTCTTCCTCCTTTACAGAAGTGAGGACTCTAAACTGTTCAGACTGACTGATATTCAGTTTTCATACAACAGCCAAATATTTTACCATTACATGAATATAAAACATAAACAATTCTTTAAATGAACATAGTCATATCTCATCCCTTAAAAGAGTTTGTTATAAATACATGAACTCGACAGACAGGCAGACAGACATGTACCTGCACACATGATGTAGTCTCTGAAGAGCGGGAATCTGAACCATAATGGCAGCATCAGCAGGTGAGGCCTCAGTCCAGGAAACAGACGAGAGAAACCGGTCGCCTCCGTACAGAAGTTCCCAAACCCCCCCGCTACCAGTACACCTGGGAGACAGACAGGGAGAGGGACAGGTGGACAGACTCACACAGCTACTCTACACATCCAGAATTGTGTGGACGGTAAGATTGTATAGCTGCTCATACAGAGGCTACAGCGCAGACACTGTGGCTACATGGATCATCACGTACAAGAGGAGGAAGGTCATGTGCATAAACTGTGGTGGAAACAAGAGCCAATCCCAGCTGACACTGGGCGAGAGGCAGAGTCCACCCTGGACAGGTCGCCAGTCTGTAACTGGCAGACAGACAGGTAGGTCAAAGGCACAAACAGGTAAACAGATAGGTGTGTTTCTCACCATGAGGATGAAATCCAAATATGTAGTTTTTCTTTGGCTCTAAATCGACGGTTTTCACCAGCTGGAGACATATCAATAACCAATAGTTAGACAGACTGATCAGCCAGGTACTGATCAGCATGCATCAGTGCTGAGCAACTGGATCAATAGACCTGATCTCACCGTTATAGGGAAGTACTCCCTGAAGTACTCCCAGACCATCCAGTTCCTGACCCAGTGTGACCTCCGACCTCCGCTGGTGGGCGTGTCCCAGTCCAACCACAGCCAACCAGCGTAAAGTAGGGCCAGCATCCACCAATCGGAAAGAGCCAGGAGGATCAAGGCAGCCAGACAGCACTGAGCTGAGAGATGGAAAGATGCAAAGACAGGTGAGAGACAGACAGGTGAGAGACAGACAGGTGCAAGGACACAGGTGAGAGCCGGACAGGTGCAAGGACATGTGAGGGGCTCTAGAGAGGGAGCAAGTCGTTCCCTAAACCTAGGGTCGGCGGTCAGGCAGGATGACACTGAACCCCGAGCTGCCCACGGTGAGAACATGTGTGTGTGTGCGTGAACTGTCTGTGTGTTATCCTGCTTAGAAAAGCGCTGTATACACCTTTTACAGACATGTAGACTACCAGTGGGACACAGACAGTTGTAAAGACAGACAGCGTTACCTAGAGCTAGGAAGGAGAAGACCCATTGCAGGACGGCGGCGGTCTGCAGCCTCCTTCGCAGCGGGATGTTCAGCGGGGCGATCTCGATCTTCATGAGGGCGGTGGCGCTGCTTGTCTCGCCTCGGTGTCTCCGCCTCAACGTCGGACCTTCTCCGCTCCGTCTGTTTTAGTTTCTGTCTGTCTCACCGCCTGTCTCAGTCTTCTCCTGCAGGTAATAAAACCAATCTTCTTGTCAGTGAAGAACCAAAAAACGTACATCTGAGTAAACTGTAACTTTGTCCGACAACTTTATAGACACGCTCTCGCAATCCTTTAATGCGCATGCGTCCCGGACCCTCCCACCGGTTGAGTTCCTCTCAGCCAATCAAATCAAACTTTATTTGTTAAGTCCCTCCTGATGTCCCTCCTATTGCACCTCCTGATCCACAGCCTAGCACTAGTACAGGTGAACAGAAAGTTGTATTCTTGTATTCATGACATCTCGGTAAATCTGTTCTAAAATATCATACAGAAAAGACTAATCATTATAATAATAATAGTGAGCTTAATAATAAAAGTAATGTCTAATTCCCATATTTTAACTTTATTTTCATCAGGTTCATCATTACATGTACAGTCCTTTATGACATTTAGGGCAATAAAGGAGAGGGAAAGAAAGACATTCTTTCGGAAAACACAGAACTCTAAAAACAAGAACTCTGTGGAACATAAACCAGTAAAGGTATGCTCACATACAGTCACCAGTGCAGATCAAATAATAAAATTTTAATTTCATTTACTTCTCTTCCTTAAGATTAATGTTGGAGTTATGAGGATGCAAGGTGACTCCCTTAAACCTGTGAGAGGGAAGTCACTTCCTGTTGATATTCAACCACAGTACTCATCGGAACAATTGCTGGCTGCTGCTATAAAGAAGCAAAAAGATTCTTACCAGGATATGGAAGATTGTACTCATGTTTTATTATATCCTGATGCTAAGGAAGTTACAAGCATCCCAGGAATGGACACCCCTTTCACAGTACAGAAATACAAGGAGGCTATTGTCCTACCAAAAAATAACATAACGTTGTACATTTGCAGTGCTGAGGACTTTGCAAACAGTTGTAAGTAAACATCTTCCATCTTAATTCAAGCACCACTTTATTATGTTATATGTCACAGTTCTTTCATCTGCATGTGATGTTGGTAACGATGATTCTGATGTTCTCTACAAGATAAATCCACACATTAGTCATTACACTTCCTGGTTTGGCTTGTGTCGTCATGGTAGTGGCAGAAGTGACACAGTTTAAATATCAGAAAGAGCATCTAAATAGTTCTTTGCAAACTAAATTGGAATTGTCAATTATGGCTTGTATTTCCAATGTATTCTTTTTTGTAATCAGTGTGTGGGTTTGCTGTCCCACAATGCAAAGTTCTAAAGTGATTGGGTCGCTAACAGTGAGCACGGTAATGTGCAGATACTATGTGATTCTGCCTGGCATTTCATAAAATTAACATACTGAGTTTCAATATAACATTTATGATTGATAGTACTATAAGATTTAAGGATTCAAGGATAACTTTTCATCACAGGTGAAACTGTGGATATTAATGAAAATCTTATAGCAGTCCTGGCAATCATTGTTTTTCCAAGGTCGCAGTGAACAGTCCTCAAGTGATGATGACAGTGTGGTTCAGTTTCCATCTGGAGACAGTCCACCTTCAGACACCCTGGTCAGTTTGCATCTGTCATGGCATTTCTCTTTAAGTCAAGTGAATTGATAATGTTTCCATTTATTAAAATCTTCCATTTGTGTGTTGTATACCGGTGTGTGAGGGTCCAGATAAAGTGAGCAGTCCAACAATGGAGAACATTTTGTTTAGGTAAAATACATTATCAATATTATGTTTTGTTGTGCAGGCAGCAGAATGTAACCACAGAACAGTAGTTTAATTCATTCTTTTTTATATATATATTTTCAGACACCCACAACCAACATCTGAGCAAGTAAGGCTTAAAAAATGTTAGTTGCTAAGCCAATGGAATCATTAGATGAATTATATTAATGTAATTGGTACAACTAGGATGGAACAGAAACCAAAGTCCAGGAACAGGTGAAACCCCCAGAGGCCCAGACGAACTTCTATTGGTAAGCTGGGTTGATGGTTTAAGACATTACAGATTTGCTTAATTAGTGTGAATGCAGAGCATTCTTCAGCATACTGTCAGCTGTAAAAACAAATCAACTAGCAAAAGGTAGAGATTTTTAAGGACATCTTGGCTTGTATTCAGCCTTTAGATATATATATTTTTTATTAATCACAGTTTAAGTTCTGTGTTGTTTTTAGCACACTTCTGAGTTTTACATTGAGTCCTATGGAGAGAGCTAGAGTGCGTTATGTCACAGGTAGAGTGGTGCTGGGCTGGTAAATTTATCAAAATTTTTCTCTCTCAACTGTCAGCAAGGCCAGTTTTCACTCTCTATGCACAATTTATAAATGTTCTTTCTTGTTGACACCTTTTTTTTTTAAGAAACAAGACACCTGGCATTCTTTTCTAGATATAACTAAGAAACATATTTGAAAATAGTTACTCAATTATTCTTTCACTTCAGTAACTACACAAATGTGTATGCACCAATCGTAATTGACAGCGAGTCGGAGTCAGAAGAACACATGGAGAACTCTGCAGAAGAAAGGTATTAATTATTAATTAGTATTACTCTGAATCTTACTGTATATGTACCCTCTTCTATATACACATGTTCTTTTACAGCACAGAGGACTTGGCCGCTGCAGACATCGTTTCTGAACTCTCAGCAAAGATAACTGGAACATCTTACAGCAGGTTCAATATTAATAGAGGTAATGTGTGGGACGGAGCAGTTCGTGGTTTCAAACGTGCCTCATTTGACCCATCACATGAGATATCAGTGAAATTTACTGATGATGAAGGCCGAGCTGACAATGACTGACTAGACAATGGTGGTCCCAAGCGTGAGTTCCTGACCCTCCTGATGAACAGCCTGAGAACACGAAGAATCTTTGATGGCCCAGAGGACAGGAAATTTCTTGTGTTTGACAGTGCAGGTAATATTATTTATACGGATGCTTCTGAGTTTTCTTCAAGAGACAATGTTGTGCAAAGTACCACTAATTCAACTAAAACATCTACAGCTGCAAAAGATGATGAATACTTTCATGCTGGGAGGATGATTGCAACTTCCATAGTTCATGGAGGTCCAGGTCCTCGCTTCTTGTCAGAGATGCTTTACCAGCACCTCACAGGAAGAGCAAACACTGCCATTGTAGCCAATATTGAAGATATAACTGACGACACCATGAGAGCTTCCCTGCTTGAGGTACACATTGGCATTATTAACAA